CTCTGGTGGCCTTGAATCCAGATGCAGCTTCAATTCCTACTCCCAAGCTGAAAAATGTCGGCCGCCTACGGACAGAGCATCAAGTGTAAGTTCCTAATCTCTTATTTGATGTTTACCTGTGTATATATGTGAACAAGATAAGTGAACTTTTAAGTATGCCATAAAAAGGAGTTGGTAGAATATAACATTATTGTAGTAGGAGTTGATGTGAATATGAAATTGTACGTAATTAAGAACACAATCAGCAAAGAATGTGCAAAGTAGATATCTACACAAATTTGCACTGCGCTGAAAGAGAGAATTAGATGTAAAAAGCTGCAGTACCAATTTGTATTGCACATGCACAACACCGTCAATTATTGAGTATTGAGTCGTCTCATTTTTTACTCAAAACTAATGGTCAATACTCTAATATTGCAGCTATGAACTCCCAGATTCCCATGAATTGTTGGAAAAGGTCAGTTGTCTATCTTCTGTTTCTCAATTATATGGCTCTTCATCAAAAAAAAATCAAATTTGGCTAGAACTAAGCTTTATTATGACCCAATAATCTTCCAATACAGTTGGATAAAAGAGAACCCGATGATCCAAGTCCGTACCTTCTGGCAATATGGACACCAGGTATGCAACTGAATTTTCTTTGAACAGTATCATCTTCTCTGGGATATCAACTAATGCAACACGTATAACAGTTAGTGAATGGAGAAAACTTGTGTCCCTGATTCTCACCATAGTGCTAATCTGAAGCGAAACCATGCATTAGCAACATTTAGCTTTTGAAACCGAAATTTGCCCTAAATAGTATGGGAGGACACACTGACCAGTTTTATCTTTTTTTCCTCCCTTTTCATCACTGACTACATATAACAATACAATGGTTGATTAGAACTCTAGTCCGCAGTAGATTATGTTGTTTTAACTTCTGTGCCTACTGCAACCAGGTGAGACTGTAAATTCAATTCAACCTCCTGAAACAAAGTGTGATCATAGTGGATCAGGAAACCTGTGCAATGAGATGACATGCTATTCGTGCAATGGCATAAGAGAGGCAAACTCACAAACCGTAAGAGGCACACTACTGGTGAGTGGCCCAGGCATTTGTTGTCCTTTAAAGTCACTACTTGTAGAAGAACTATAAGAACTATAAGCTAGCATTGCCTTTTTTCCTCTGAAACGCCTAGCTTATTGCAGATACCATGCCGTACAGCAATGAGAGGGAGCTTCCCACTCAACGGAACATACTTCCAGGTTAATGAGGTAAATTCCAAACCTTGTCATCTGATCGCAATTTTCAAGAGTCTACGTTGATGCTTCAAAACTTACAAGCGCAACTGTGTGTAATGAAACTTGGAAATGGATGTTATTGATTGCAATCATTCTGATCGTTGAATAAGATGTGATCTTATACTGTGCAGGTATTCTCGGATCATAAATCCAGTCTTGATCCAATTCATGTTCCGAGAAAATTGCTATGGTCCCTGTCAAGAAGGACCGTGTACTTTGGGACCTCTGTCTCAACAATTTTTAAAGGTACAAACAAATGCTCAGGAAAAACATTGTGGTTTGATCTATGACTTGAGAATTGAGTCTAAGTTACTGACTACATAAACATTGATGTTAATCAGGCTTGTCAACAGAACAAATTCAGTACTGCTTCTGGAGAGGTAAGTCCAACTTTTCTTCCTTCTCATATTTAAAAAGATACAGAAAAGGGATCTGAGTTAAATATGTGCCACTACTAAAGTGTTCAAGTAAAAATGTGATTGAGTTACCTAATTCCTAGAGTCAGATTATGTTAAACTGTCCTTGAAAATGTCATTTTACAGGATTTGTCTGTGTAAGGGGATTTGATCGAGAGATGAGAGCCCCACGACCTCTCATTGCTAGACTGCACTTCCCTGCTAGTAAGATGGTCAAAAATAGAAGTGATGACAAAAAAAAGGAGGGAACAGCTGCAGAGAAGGTTGCTGGTTACAACTCACCAAAATCTGTCCATACAAAGTAGAGAAACACAGAGAGGAGTAGGATAAGAATTTGATGACTAACATAGTGATGACATTCAATAACCTCACCGGAGATGCAAATTTACAGCAGCAGAATTGAAGTCACCCTTGGCGAAAAAGGGTGTAGTGTACAATAAGCATCTCTTATTCTTTGATTTATGCTCACAAACTGAGCCATCATTATTCAAGATTTACCAAATAGAAAACAAGGATAGATGTAGGAAAATTGAGGTGTAACATTCATAGTTTGAATGTGAAAACAGTTGATGCCATTGTAGTGGAAAATCCTTTTTATTCATTCCCTGAAATGACTATTGCTTTGATTTACATGTTGACAGGCTCATTTTTATGTGGAACAAGTGGTTAACTGAAGATGCATACTATTGAACCTTCACCTAATAACTTAATATAGATATCCTTCAGTCTAAACAAAGGATACAAAACTAAGAAAAATTAAGATAGGAAAAAGGATCACCTATCAGCAATAGGCTCTGCAAATTATTGCGAACTCTTCTCAAACTTCAGATAGCCACTTGAAGACCCAAAATGTCTCCATGTTACCATGAAACTAAAAGAAAGGATGAAATGCAAAAGGATAGTATATTAGCAAAGTTTATGCAAGGTAGTGAAAATTACAACAACAACCAAGTGTAATTCCACAAGTAGGGTGTGAGAAGGATAGAATGTCTGCAAACTTTACCCCTACCTTGAGAAGGTAGAGAGGTTATTTTCAATAGACCCTTGAATGAACGAACGATTAAAAAGAGGCAACGATAAAAAGCGAAAACAACAGCAAGAAAATAAGATAATGAGAATAAATAATAACATGTAGAATAACAATCTAACGATAAGGAAAAAACAAGAATAATACTAATACTCTGAGAATGGGAAATAAATATGCGCGTTCTACCTTAATCTTCGATCTCTACCCCTCGTATCAAGGGTCATGTCCTCGGTGAAAATTGATAGGCCAGAATGAAAGACAAGTTAAACCTACAAATAAGGGAGTACTTCTCTCTCTTCCTTCGGGGAAAACAACATAGCAGTAAATGACACGTACAAGTTATACGAAATGCAATCAAACATCATCTAGAAAAAATTTCTCTGAAAACCATTGAACTTTTGGGAGTAAGTTAGCAACAATGCACAGCTCTCCCTGCAACCGTTTGAACTTTCCAAATTCTGGAACTGATACACCATTCACCAAGTCAGAAAAACATGGTTTCATAACCTGAGCTCTCCTTAACCAGCTGACCTTACCTCGTAACCTTAGCTTCTCTTTCTTTATAGTTTTCTAGTTCGACCAATGACTTCATAACATCAACCTAAATACTATTTTCCTTTTTTTGGCACTTAGAAGCATAAAGTCCTTAATACAAACAATTATTATTGACTTATCAGTATGCTAGAGAGGGTAATCGATCCCATTTTTAAGGAAAACAAACGTTCCCCAAGCTCTGAATTTTCTCGTCTCCACATTAGTCAAAAGGTCTAAACTTAGCTAGCTCTCTGATAAGGTCCTTTTTGCAACTCAAAGTGGGATTTAGTGAATCATTTTCACCCTATTACCAACAGTTTTCCACTCTAACTTATTTCAGTTGAGACAGAATTTCCAATTATACATTACTTCTTTTTCTCTTTTCAAAAAACACCTATGTGCTGGTAAATGAAAACTACCTCTGGATCAGAGTAAACAACACTGTCGAATCAGGCCACCCTTTGCCTACACAGCCACCAGCTAAGGGGAGATCTGTTGTATGCTGCTCACGAAAACATCTGACCTATACTATAGTCAAGTCATTCGCCTATCTTTCTAATTTCTAATCTCCTTTCCTTCTATTCATCAAATTTTCGGCCAAAAAAAGGAGAAACGAGAACCTTAGATACGCTCACTTTGCATTTTTGCTTACGATCTCGAGATTTGGACTATTTTCAAAATATTCAAGTTAACAATGAAAGTAATCATACAGTCAATCATAGATTTAATTTGAAGATTGTTCTAAATTGAGCGTAAAAAATCAAATATAAGATTTAAATTTGACAGTTACAGATCGATTCAATAATCAGGAACAGTTACCTGAATAATTCTGATCGGAAAATGTGGCGCCTCCGATCGGTGAGTTCAGACTGCTCGTCGGAAAACTGAAGGTGAAGCGATTCTCGCGTCTGAAGAGTTTTTTTTTTTTTTTTACTCTTTAGGTTTGAAAAGTTTATTGTTTTGCCGCATTTATTTGATTACATTCCCGCCTTTTATTTTTTCGCTCCAAAATTCTTTTTTGCTCTTTTTCTTTTCCATCGAAAAATGCGTTTGACTAATTCTCTATTAAATTAAATAAAATAAACAATACTTTATGGTAAAGTCCCAAACTTTCTTTAAATTAGTAATTATTCATAATTTTTCTTAAAAAATCTTTTAAATAAATAGAAAATAATATTAGCAAACACTTTTGATTTCTATATATATTGTAGTTCTTGTGACATTCATCAAATATATTTAATCTTCGAATATGGATTAGTAATATAAATTTAACATAATACATGAATAATTGACAATTATGGTAAATTTGTAACTATTCACAAGTAAAGAAATCAAAGTGCATGTTCCAATTAATTGAAGGTCAAATATATTTAGTCATATGAATTAAAACTAAAATTTATTAATAACAGAAGGATCAAAAGTGCAACGTATTGAATTATGTTGAGACGACGCCTTAGAGGAACTAATCAGTATATGCAAAAATGTTTATCGGAGAAAAAATTGTCCACTTTATTAATCATCATTAGAATCTATTTTCTGCATAAAAGAAAATCCATCATAAATAATAAGTTGAACATTATCCATTTACTTTGACAAATTGATTTATTTTACTCAATCATCTAATACTATATTCAAACTAGATTATCAAACTGCAGTTTTTCTTCTGTGAAGCTCCACTTAGACCTCAAACCTCATTCAAAGTCACCACTGATGATAGATAGTAGTAAAATAGTAATGGAATAGTCGAGGTGGGCACAAGTTGACCTCGATACCCCTATTAATATTTATTTGCAAGTTTCTGTATAGAATACAACAAATCATCCTAGTCCATATGTCAACCAAAGAAAAATGTAACGCGAGGATCTCACGCTAGATGAAATGTAACTGCATGAGCAATGGCAGGAGGGGGGTAAGAGGCACTTTAGGTTTCCCCGCGACTCATGTTCCAAAACTCAACTTCATACTCAAGAACGCGCATAACTGTTGCCTCAGCTTTTGAGATGATATCTTCTGGTGACTTCTCAAGACGACGATTAGCTATGTTTTGAAGAGTATGGCAATACTGACCAAAACCATCATTGCCCCATCTTTGACAAGTCTCTTTTAGTTCTTCTGGGGTTTTAGAACCATCTGATAAACAATGGGCATAACTTTCTTGATAGACAGCTTCAATTGCCCAAAAGGCTGTAACAGCAATTGTATAATCTACTTCAGGACTCATTAGGCTTTCCAAAAATCTGGTAGCAAAAGATGCACAGTCAATGAAACAGAATATTACTTTGAGTATATTCGGTACGAAAGAAAATGTTATCCTAAAGGTGTGGAGGGAGGGGTGTGGGGTGGTCGGGATAGGGGTGAGATGAGTTGTGTTGGGGGTGGGGAGGACAGAATCAATGTGGAGTGTTACTTGTGGAACGGAAATCATTCATAGTAACTGTGACAAAAGCATACAGATCATAGTAGCGGGACAAGAACCACTAAAACAAGACTGCTGATTACGAAAAAATGTGTATGACCTTGTAAGCATATAGTGCATTTTATACCTGCAATATTCCAGGTTAGTCTTTTGAGGAACAGTACTGGACAATGAAACACTCCACTTAGATGCTTCTCTCTTGAACCATGATACCTCATCGTTCAGCGCAGCCATACCACCTAAAATGACCTCTATGTCTGAATCGTCATCCGACTCCTTCCAAGCTTTCAACAATAAACTTGCTACGAAAGGAACAAAGGCTCTAACAAATATATAATCTTGTCCCTGCATCCAACATCTAATCATTAACTGATAGAAAACTTCATGAGCTTGCAAGAAGAAAACTGAACAAAACACGGCACATATTTTAGTTGCAGATACAAAACGGAGAAGATAAGTGTTACACTCGGTGAATATGGTTACAACTCAATACATAAATCAGAACCCACTCAAGCTCAGATTAGTTTGCTGAATATGTTGCTGCAGTTTCAAGTACTAAAGCCGAATATATGGCAGCAGACATCACTGCCTAGGAATGTATGCGGTTGCGAGGAGATATGCATGAAAAGTTGATTATATTGTGCAAATTAATACAATACTAAAGTGTGATCAAGATCCCATCAGATCTCCAATTTTTTCAGGCCGCAAACGATAATCTTTTGAAGTTAGTTGTCATTACATTCAATCGAGCTGAACAATCAAATAAAGATACTTAGAACGGCTCTAAACTTGAATGTTTTAGAACAGTACATGGAGTCATTGATAGTAAACAGAAACTTTCTCCCCTTGAGGAAAATTAGATGGTCTTCCTGAACAGGCCTTTTATTTGGTAGGTAATATTGATGAAGCTAACATGACGGCTATGAACTTAGAAATGGAGAGCAATTTGAAGAAACGACCTTAAAATTGTTTGGGATTCAGGTGGAACAAATCATTTTATCTACTAGTGCCTAGTGGTCAAATTGGCATATTACCAAACCACACCATATTGCCACAACTTTAGATATATGGATTTTGAGAATACGCCTTAAAGACCACATTCTGGGTTTGCTAGAATACGCAATAATGGGATCATTGTTTTAGTAAATGACAACATAGAAGGGTAGTGGCATTGATCCACAAGAAGCTCAGCAAACTCGCTAACATCTGTTCTTATTCTATCCTATACATACAATTTGCATCCGATCTCCACAAGCATAAAGCAAGTCTTTTCCTCCATCATCCCAGAAAAGAACAATTCTTTTTTCTCAACGTTCTTTACACTATTAGTAAAATTATTGGTTGTGCAAGGGGTCAAATTTGTGAATATACTCCCCGTCCATGCTATAACCAGACGACGGTGAAACCCCAAACACTCTACCAAAAAAGATCTTTAACGGCAATAGCTTAATTGCCACTAAATATGTATTTTTAGAGGCAATTAACACTTTTATAAATGTCCCTAAAACCTATAGCGATACTAAATCAAATGACAATTAACTAATGTCAATAAACACTTTAGCCCTCGTTATTAATGTGCATATTTATTGGTGCTAAAAATTGTTCTTGTTGTAGTGAAAGCATGTCTGGATCCAAACATGAGGGGGCATGACAATGTTCCTAAATTGGATCGGGTCGAGAACTCTCTTTCAGCTAGCTTTTAGAGTGTGAATTAGTTCAACACAGAATTTAATATAGTTCTTCCTGAATCACTTGACTAGCATAAACTTCATGTTTACTAACACTAGCATTTAACAAGTAAGAGAAGAAACATAAGAATTTGGGGAAAAATTAAATTACCAGCCATCTTTTGAAAGCAGAGAGGTCAACGGAGCCATCACGAATGCTAAGAGTAAATGGGTGTCTGGTGGCGGAAGTGTACAGTTCATTGTGTTGATTTAGCCATTTTTGGATCATCAACATTTTTTCGTTACATCCTTCCATTTTCTTTTCAACTCCTTCTTTTTCCTTTGCTGTGGAGTATTTGTTTTTTCTTTGGGAACACTGTGTAGAGAAACGGATATGAGGGCGGGTTCGGGGCAAGACCCCGCCTAAAAATTGAAGTGTTTTTCGAGTTGCTAGTATGGTAAACATCACTCATTATTAACTTTGAGATTGTGAGTTCGAATCATCAAATGAGCTAAGGATACAGTTCTTGCTAGCTAGTATGATAAGCACCACTTGATCTCACCAAACATTGTGTATTATGTGTCATGTAAGATAATGTGTTTTAAGCATTTAAATATCAACTGAGATCAAATTAAAAAAAACATGTTTATAGTGTTACTACTAATAACATCACATTCCTACCCATTTTCCAAATTACAAAAATTCCTTAAATTTGATGAAATCTAGATACATTCCAAAACATTATGATACATCGCGTCTCAATTTCGAATATATCGCTTAACATCCTGAGACGTCTCAATTTCGAATACATCACTCAACGTCTCGATACATCGAATAAAGTGATATATCCAAAAATAAAGGGTAAAATTTTTTGTAATTTTTTAAATGATAAAGAATTTAGAAAATATGATAAAATAAGTTGTATATTTAGGTAATATTTCTAAAAAGTTTTGAAATGTAAAATTGAAAATAATTTCTCTTTTCAGAACTTACAACACTATCTTGTGAGATAAAAAAATTGAAAATAATTTTTCTTTCCAGAACTTGCAACACTATCTTGTGAGATAAAAAGTAAAATTGAATATACACTACTCTTTCCAAATTTCATTTATGAAATTTTAATACAAAGTTTTGATTGTTGATAACACGAATCTTATAATAATTGATTTGTAATTGACCACTGCAAGTTCCACAATCGATTAAAAGGGACAAGCAAACAAGCATAATCAACACTAATTAACACAACACACTACTATATATATATATAATATATGTACTCACGCTAGCTATACATGTACATTGATATACATTATTTTCTACATGGCATACAAGGAAATAAGTCGATAACATACTATATAAGTAACAATAACCATATTAAACATTGAACTATAGTGCGTACTACGTACCACGATACGATACAAAAACTTAAGTTCCTCCAAGGTTCATATTCCAAAAACGAACAATATTCTCAAGAAATTCGAGAATTAATACTTCAGTCATCGATACTTCTTCGTCCAACGCCTCTTCTAGCGTTCGATTAGCTATGTTTTCAAGTGATTGACAATATTGTTTGAAATTATCATTGCCCCATATTTTACAACCATCTTTCATTTCGTTTGGAGTATTATTTCCTTCTTCCAAACAATGTCCAAAACCATTGTAATAAACTGATTCCACTGCCCATAAAATGGTTATTGCCTCTGTATACTTCACGTCTGGACTTGTTAAAGGTTCGAAAAACCTGTATTATAAAATTAATTACATGAAAATCATATAGTTAAATGAAAAAATATATGATAAAATTAACCACTTCAAGAAGTGAATGTAGCATAATTAACCTTGTCATGAATACCATTTGTTATGTCATTTAGTAATGATTGTAATAACATATGGTAATTTATGCCTAGTTAAAACAATTAGGACAATAATATAATGTTTAGCCAAATCTCTCTCACACACATACATTAAAATATCCACTAAATATTCATGGGTGAACCAAGTTATTGTTGGGTATTAACTAAAGGTTACCAAAGTATTAATAATAGTAGTAATTAGTTAAAATAACAACATATTTTGGGGTGGAATAATTGGGATCATCTCTTCCCTAACCAAATCAAAAATTTCGAGTTTGAGACTCTGAGAATGAAACAAATCTTAATTGATTCTCCCTTAAGTATTACTAATTGTAGTAATTAGTTAAAAGTAACAACATGGATTGTGATGAAATGATTGAGATCTCTTCCTTGACCAAATCAGAATTTTCAAATTTTGAGACTCGAGAATGAAACAAATCCTATACCATATTTATTGCCACATAAATAAACCCTGCAATACTCGAATTCAAATCACTAAAGAATCCAAATTTAGTTAGCCTCAATTAATACGAATACCGAATACCAAATAAAAAAAGTAATTACCTAAAGTAATCAAGGAGGGGCTTGTCATCAAGAACAACACTTGCCAAGGAAATGTGCCACTTGGAAGCTTCTTGTTTTAACCAAGAAATCTCATCATTCAAATAGGCCAAACCACCCAAAATAACCTCAACATCAGAGTTATTTATTGACTCTTTCCAAGCTTTAAGCAAAACACTAGCTGCAAATGGTACCAAAGCTGTTTTCACAAACAAATATTCCCTTTCCTGCACTTCATAATTATTTATTTAGAGATTAAAAAATAAGGAAGAAAAATAAAAATTAAATTAAAAAAAATATATACATAATATTACCAGCCATTTCTTGTAACAAGAGAAATCAATAGAACCATCATGGATAGAATAAATAAAAGGATGTCTAGTAGCTGCACTATACTCTAACTTATGTTTTCTTAGCCATTTTTCTATTTGTGTTAATTGTTTTCCCTTATAATTACCTCCTTCATTATTATTTTTCTCCTCCATATCTAATTTGATTAATTAATTCCTTATATGGTACAAGTTTTTTTTTTTTTTTTTTTTGCTCTATAGTTGCATATTGTTCTTGTACTATAATTTACCCATTTTTATATACTCCATGTTATGTTGGGTGCTTTTAGTATATAGTTATTATATTAGAATTAGAAGTGTCGAGCAATAAATAAGACACGTGTTGAGGAAATTAGTGTTTCCACCGTTTTGAGAAGCCTCCAGCTTCTACTAGACATGATGATGATGGTTTTTTTAAGAGTGTTTTGATATTATTTGTGTTGAAGTTTGATTAAATTTATTATTTATATATTTTTATGAAAAAGATTATTTTTTGGTGAAAATTATATTTAGTCACACCAAATGCACGTTGAAATATTATTACTATTTAAGGAAATAGATTTTTATTTTTATTTGTCACTTTCAACATATCAAGTGATTTTTTTATGTTTTATCTTTAATTAATCACTTATTCTTCAAATTATTTTCAAAATTCAATACTAATCATCAATTAATAGAGATAGTGTGATAAAATAATATTATTTTAATGAATATGTTAATATAATAAGTGAAAATAAACGGAGAGAAAAGAGTTGATCTACACATACAACTTACTTTCACGTTTCAAGGTTTTCCTTTTTGTGAAGCCCTTCACCGAATCATGTGCATGACGAAAGCTTTAGTACATCAAATTACTCCTTATAATTTCTTTACTCTAATAATCGCTTTTAAATAATTCGTATCGCAAAATTTATCAGCTCTATTAAATTGAAGACTTTTAGATATTTAGGCTTTCAAGCTCCCTAACATGATTTGTATGAAGCATAAGAATATAAGCAAGCTCCTATTCAGGCTTGCTCGATTATCACAAGTTGAACTTTTACGAATTGCGTTTAAAATAGGTTGATTTTTACTATTTTTTTAAAAATAAACTAATCCTTAATTATAGCCTTCAACAATTAAACTTATGTCTAATAAGATATAAATTCTATAAAAGTTGAAGTCACTTAGGATACAAGTTGAGAGATATTATATATATATTAATGCCCATAGTTTTTTTATTATTATTTCTCATTCGGTGTCCGGAGTTTATATTGGAGCTTCGACTAGAGCCTCGATTAAATTTGGATTGCGCTCTGCAGGACCCATTCGGGGGTGGCGCTCCCAACAAAATTTTCTCCATACCCAAGGCTTGAACCCGAGACCTCTAAGGGTGAAACATTCTGTCACGACCCGAGCCTACACCCTGGACGTGGCCAGCACTCGAAGACCATTTCTGGTCCCCAAGCGAACCCTCATCCTGGCTGACTACAAGCGAAAAACTGATTCAAGCATACAAAGCTTAAAAACTGAAATAAAAGTTCATAAAACTTTAATACAAACTTTAAGTCCAAAGAAAACTCTGTATAATAAAATATATACAACTCGCCATAAAAAGGCAACTTTAGTCTTTAAAACATTTAATAAAATAAATGATACAGACTTCTCAACTGTATTGACTATCTATGAAGCCTCTAACTGATAAAGATGGAAGTCGGGACAAGACCCACGACATCCTAACAACTGATATAACTGAAAGGTAAATGAAATCCTCCGAAAGCAAGGAGGCTCACCATAGCTAACTCAAACTCTCGGATGTATCAACGAAGCTCCTGTTGATGATCCTGAATACATGTGTCTGCATCATGAAAAGATGCAGGCCAAATGGCTCAGTACGTGGAATGTACGAGCATGTAAGAGGAATTCTAAAACATAAACATAAGCTTGAAACTTGATAGAAATGAAACATACTTACCTCTTCTCAAACTTACTCAACTCAAGGAATACTCAAGGGTACTCAAAACTACTCAAACTTACTCAACTCAGAAGTACTCAAGGATAAGATACTCAACTCCGAGATTAGATACTCAACTCAAGGATATGATATTCGACTCAAAGATATGATATTCGACTCTGGATACTTAACTAAATATGACTGAACTCATTTCAATATAAAGCAATTTAAAACAAGTGCAATATAAAGAAACAAACTGTTTAAAAACATGTTGTCAAATCTGTGTGTATGCAAGGATACAACATAACTCTGAAATGTATATAAAAATACAATAAACTGATGTATATAAAAATACAATAACTTCTGTGGGAGTTTCTCTAACCGACAACCATCACATAAGAGCTATAGTGATGATACAACGATCTACCTCACACTGCCAGCGCATCCTATACCCGGCCAAAGGTATAGGACCTGAACTACTAATGGATCCACTAGTCTATGTGAAAAGGGTTCATCTAAAAAGTATGACCCTTTTTCTACCCATGATGGCTACATGGTTTATGGGGGCTGTGAGTTGTCTGAACTCTCCCCTATATCGGTGCTCAATACTACTCCCAAAAATATACTAGCTCTTATGTTTTAAAAACATACTTCTTT